TATACTCTACTATAACAAATACTACTTAGTTACGCCTAACTTAAGAATACTGTATACAGCTTTGGTCTATTTATCTAAGAAAGGTATCAGTAATTATCTCTATACAAATCACTAGTTAGGCCTAACTTAGAATACTGTATACAGCTTTAGTCTGTTTATCTAAGAAAGGGTATCAGGTAATTATCTCTATACAAATCACTAGTTAGGCCTAACTTGGAATACTGTATACAGCTTTAGTCTATTTATCTAAGAAAGGGTATCAGGTAATTATCTCTATACAAATCACTAGTTAGGCCTAACTTGGAATACTGTATACAGCTTTAGTCTATTTATCTAAGAAAGGGTATTAACTTATTGGAAAGGATTTAGAGAAGTGCAACTAGGATGATTTGGAAGAATTATATTACAGAGCTGGATTAAGATTTCTTAACTCGTTTTCTCTTCAGAAAAGTAAAGGATGATCTTATTGCAGTTTACAGGATTATCCTGAGGATAATCCGAGGGGAAAAAAAGACCTCCGATTTCCTTTTGTTTTACTCTGGAGATAGTTGAAAGAAAAGGCCCAAGTTTACGACTATTAAATAATAAGCTACGTTCTAATTAAGAAAGTTTTAACTTTTTAACAGGGAGTTTGGCTAATGGAAGAAGTTGACATTAACAGGAGACGAGGCCAGAACATTACAAAAGTTTAGGGGTGAAATAGATAATTTCCTGATAAATAAAGCGTGGGTTTAACTTCTTATTTCAATTATGAGCGTGCAAGGACATCCTTGATGGACCAGATTGTTCTTTGCTGTCCATTTGTTATGTTTTGGTCTATTGCCTTTGTCACGTGCTATGTAAATAAAAAAAATATCATTACCATAGTTACTAAGTTGTGATTCCATTAAAGCAAAGTTTAATAGAAAAAAAAATTGTATTCTATCCATTATTCAAACTCAACCTCTATTCCAGGATAATTTTCTTACTCGTGCGCTCGCTCATTTTAAAACGATCAAAGTTGACCATACACAGGGCACATCAAATTTTTATTTACTTTTGTTTTTAAGCGCAACAATGGACTGTCGGAGCTGTGGCCACCGTAAGTATCGAATCTCAAATTTTACTGCTGGGCAAAAGTGGGGGGCGAATTGAATCAGACATTTTTACGTAAATTTGTATATATAATAATTGAAACAAATTGTGTTCAAACACCAGCTTCAGTTTCATTATTGGAATAATAGATTCAAATGATACCAGTCCCGTTACGTGGGCAACGTGGGCAAAATTCATAGTTAATCTCTGGGGCATTTCACCACGTACATTACCCCGGCGACGACTCGAATGGCAGAGAGGAGAGCTCAAATAAACTAGAGGGGAACTCAATAGCGTTCATCTTATTCGGCCCTTAAAAATATAGAAATGTGTCCGGACCATATTTGGCAGGACGATGAGGAATAATATTCTACACGTGTCCACCGAGTTTCATCAAAATCCGATCATTTTTGACTGAGTTATGGAGCAAACATAGTGTGAAAAATCGGTCCCCATATTAACAGATGGGGATTTTTTTAGGTATTAGTGACCTCCCTGTAACCTTTACCCTCCAAAAACTAAGTACTTCTAAGGTGGGTCATAGTCCAAACGTACACCAACTTTCGTCCAAATCCATTCAGTCGTTTTTGAGAAATCTTGCTGACACACAAACACACACACACACACACACACACACACACATAGGGGTGAAAGGAAAACATAACCCTCGGTGGCGGAGGTAATGATTTTGTTTGTTGTTAAGCGCAAAGCTGCATCATGGGCTATTTGTTCTCTGCCCACCACGAGTGTCGAAACGAGATTTTGAGCATCGTAAACCCTTAGAGTTACCGCTTAGCCATCAGGAAATACATAAATAATGACAATAATCAATACTATTTATGTGGGAAAATCTGTCAGAGTTTTATTTAATGAAATGACAGAAAACAAGATAAAATTTGTAATAATAAAATATTAAATAATTCACCAGTCTAAGACTCCAATAAAGAAAACCATGAATACCGTAATTTTTTTCGAGCAGTTTAAGATGGCGATATGAAGAGATTTGATACCAATCTGTTAAAGACTTGAAAATAAGTTGTAAAAAGATACCGCAATTTTCTAAATATTATCAAATTATTAGTATGTGATATTTTTTCTTTTCTATTCAGTGAGTTGTAACTATGTACAATTTTGGAAGTTCTGACTGAAACAGAACCGATCTATTTAACTTAGTGATGATTTAAAAAAGTTTAATTTCAGACATCCCTCTAACTGTTATTGGTACCTTCTGGTGATTATTCAAAGTTGTATGATCTTACTGTTAAAAACTACTACTAGTGAAGATTTTGGGAAGTATAATTTCATTCTATGGTCATTTATTCTAGTTTTTAAAGTCTTCCTTTGCAACATATTTTATACACTTAAAAATAGGGTTATTAGAAAACATTACCATTTACTTTTTAACCAAGATCAAAACTTTAGGGTTAGCAAATTAATTTGTAACCAAGATCAAAACTTTAGGGTTAGCAAATTAATTTGTAACCAAGACCAAACCTTTAGGCTCAACAAATTAATTTGTAACCGAGATCAAAACTTTAGGCTTAACAAATTAATTTGTAACCGAGATCAAAACTTTAGGCTTAACAAATTAATTTGTAACCGAAATCAAAACTTTAAGCTTAACCAAAACTATCACGCGAAGTTTTAAATGGGTATTATTTAAACGTAACATAAGCTCTTAGGTTATGACATTGTTTTATTTTAGTAAAGCAGACCAGATCAGTTACTTAACTGCTTCCATGTAAAGTAAAACGTAAGAATCCCAAAATATACAAACGGAATTGTTTTTTTAACGATAGTATTAACAAAAGTGGATTTCAGAGCTGGTAAGATGAGTTCGAATCCGTGCTATACCACAAATATTTTGCCGCAATTTAAACTGCGGTGCGTTATAGGAGTGATAATCAATCCCTTATCGTGGATACTAAGTGCTACTGACTGACTACCTTCCTTCTGGTTAGTAGTTTAAAATTAGGGACGGCGTCAGATAGCCTTAGTAGCTTTTACATTCAAATTCTTGTTGTTCCTTCTTGAGCGTGTTGACAACTGGAAAAATAATTCAAAATGCATTTAATGAGACAAAAGTTATAAAATATATTTCTGGAATTTTTAGGAATCACGAAATAACAGC